AAATTGGCCTCTGTCTCTTTAAATCTTGCCACAATACAGTAATAGTAACTGCATTTTTTAGGTGAAGTAAAAAATGTTATAAATACAAAAAAGAAATGTAAAAACCATTTTAGAAAAAAATACTTGAAACTGTCATTGAAACGAATTATATAATCTGCTGTCAGAAAATCTGTGCCTGACCAAGACAGATTTACACAAAAATGTGTTGAATATTTAACACATACAGTGTGTTATAGTGTTATGTACATTTTAACACGTTGTGTGTTAAAATGAACACAAAATGTGCATTAAAGGTAATACATTTTTGTGTTATTTTTGTAACATGTCTTTTTAAAGAGAGTTGGTCCTCGCACCCTGCTGTGCCAGTCCATTATCCTCAAGAGCCGCTGACTCCCAAGTGTGGATGTCAGCCTTGGTGATATATTACCAGCTGAACTGTCTCCAATGGCCATCAGCTAAGCTGAGCTGCCATTCAGCTGTAAAGTTTGTTTTCATTCAAACTTAAGCAGTTTTCTAGTTTGTTCTGTTGAGACAGTGACATCAGTTTGTGACATCATGCAAATTGATGTCACAAAGAGTGATGCATTGATGTCATAAGGCTGCAGTCTTGAATTCTACGCAGAGCAAGCAGAAGCATTATCCTCACAAGTGATTGCGTGCAAAACCTTTTTAAGATAAGAAGGCAAGTCCTAACAAATTAAGGAAAACATTAAACCGTGTTTGAATTTCTCTACACAAAAAAATAAAAAATGAGTCAGCACCTTAAGGCGTCGTTTTCTGACTCAGAAAATGAGAAAATACAAGGGACCATAGCTAGACAGGCACAGAAGCTCTATGGGATCTTGAAAAATGTCAGCATGTTGTCAAGTAACAGACAGACTCCAACTAAAGCAAATGAGGAGAAGATCCAAATTAGGAATATAGAGCTGCTGGCACTAGAAAAAGACAAGCTGCTTCTGGAGAAAAATAAGGAATTAAAAAAAATGTTCAACATTATCAGAAATTTAATGGAGAGTAACACCACACTGGAGAAGGAAAATACTGCTCTGGAGCAGAAAAGCACCATCTTGGAGCAGAAAATCACCACCCTGGAGCAAAACAACACCACACTGAAGAAGGAAAAGACCGCTCTGGAGCAAAAAACCACCATCTTGGAGCAGATAAACACTGCCCTGGAGCAGAAAAATACTGTCATGGAGCAAATGAACATCACCTTGGAGCAGGAAAACACCAACCTGGGGCAGAAAGGCACTGTCTTGGAGGATATAAACACTGCCCTGAGGCAGAAAAACACCACCTTGGAGCAGGAAAAAAGCTCCCTGAAGCAAAAAACAACCACCTTGGAGCAGGAAAACACTGCCCTGGGGCAGAAAATCACCACCCTGGAGCAGGACAACACCACCCTAGAGAAGGAAAAGACCGCTCTGGAGCAGAAAAGCACTGCCTTGGAGCAGAAAATCACCACCCTGGAGCAGAACACCACCACACTAGAGAAGGAAAAGACCGCTCTGGAGCGGAAAAGCACCATCTTGGGGAAGAAAAGAGCCATCTTGGAGCAAATAAACACTGCTCTGGAGCAGAAAAACACTGCCCTGGAGCAGGAAAACACCGCCATGAAGGTAAAAAGCATCACTCTGGAGCAGAAAAGCACTGCCTTGAAGCAAATGAACATTTCCTTGGAGCATGAAAATACCACCCTGGAGCAGAAAGGCACTGTCTTGGAGCATTTAAACACTGCCCTGGGTCAGAAAAACACCAGCCTGAAGAAGGAAAAAAATACACTGAAGCAGGAAAACACTGCCCTGAGGCAGAAAANATTTCTCCAGTTTCTCCTTTTTCCTGATGTTGTGGTCACTTGGTATTGCTACATCCACCACAACGACTTTCCTCTGTTCTTTATCCACCACCACAATGTCCGGTTGCTTTCCCATTACCATTTTGTCTGTCTGGATCTGGAAGTCCCACAGGATCTTAGCTCGGTCATTCTCCACCACCTTTGGGGGTGTTCCCCACTTTGACCTCGGGGCTTCCAGTCCATATTCTGCACAGATGTTCCTGTACACTATGCCCACCACTTG